ATATATATATATATAAAAACATTGGCTTACTTAAAAATGATGTTAGTATGGCTTTATTATTTTGAGATATCAGGAGAGATTTCACTAATTTAAAGTCAGAAAATTTTACATTAATAACACATATTGTTTTAAATATACATTTGCACACAGCCCATAAGGACTTGTCTAATTCCAAGTAATATAAAGTCATTTTTCTCTTGAAGAAAAAAACAGCTCTGACTAAAACGTCCCATTTAGATGCCACAAATGCGGCATTTAGATACCGAAAACACCGCGAGACTTCAGTGGTCAACTTTATATTAGATTTAACAGCATGAAATGACTTCTAATCAAGTTAAAGGTCGTTTTAATTTGTATTAAAAGGGCCTGGAGAGACCTCATGCGTTATAATCACACTGGGGATCTTGCATTGTGGGGGTGTGGTGACTTTTTGTAGTTCTCCGCCTTCCTCTGACATCAGCCAACAGTGTTAATTTACTGCCAGCGCCGAAAATGTAGATCCGCTCTCCCCGTTTTTTCCCCAACGACGACATTTTTGTTGACCACTACACGACTTTCTATTGTTCTGAAACGGCAGAAGCGTTTACATACAATGAAATACGATATAAAGGGAGACTACAGCACCGACGAGCCTAGTCTGCGCGGTAACAAGATCAAATCCCGAGGCCGAACACCTCCTCCTCCTCTCTGGTCGTTTTTTTTGGGGGGGGTGGGGGGTATTAGAGCCTCCCCTGGATGAATGGGTAGCCATATTCTCATTCTCAGTCAGAGAGGGAAAAAAATATTATCAGGCCTGGCATAAGTGCGTCGTAAAACGTAACTGGTTGAACCACACCGCCTAATTTTCCGCTTGGCCTACATAGCAGCCAACAATGCACATCATGGACCCGTTTAAAAAGCATGATAGACACGACACAGCGCGTCTCTCCACAAGACATGGCGAACAGTCCACACCGCTGGGATCCATGTTAGAAAAAGAGGGTGCACACACACGCGAAGGCAAACACACGCACACATTCCCATTATTTTTTCATGAAACAAACAAATTCCCAGCTCATAAAACACAGCATGGTCGAGGCGTGCGTGTTATCTGCGACGGCTTGCCAACACGGCGTCGTTATTAACTTACGGAGAGCAGAGGACGGATATAGCACACCTACCTCACTGGTCTTGACATTTTGCAGGAATACTGTAGAGGTTAAGGATGTAAGAAAGGGGGGAGAAGAAAAAGCACAGGGGGGAAAAAAGAAATATAGATTCCCGCTCTTGCAAAACACCGAGGGGAGCGAGGTTGACGCACAACTCCACCGTCCGAGCTAGCGCGTGAAAACAAAAGTACGGCAGCGACTTGTCCTCCACACGCAAATATTCTTAATTTTTTTACCTTCAGCTACTCAAAATGGTGAATAAAACAAACTGAAACTGCAGCCTGTGTGCAACCAAACCCCGCGGCCTTGAGGGGTGGGTCCTCGACGACAAGCACCGCCCCTACGGGGCCCTGAGAGGAGCAGCGCGGCGCCCTCCCGCTCCCATTGGCTGATTTAAACGACGACCCTCTTTTGTATTGGATACTTTAGCTGCTCGTTAGAAGACTTTTAGCATACAGTTCCCCGCCTTCGCTAGCAGGCTCGGTTGAATTAGCACTGTTAAGAAAACAAAAAGAGGCCCTCAGGTTGGATGCAAACATTGAATTCAGTGTGGGTCCCAAAAGACCATAAAGCAATATTGCAATTATAGGTTACAACGTGCATAAACATCATGCATATGTAATGATATAATGTATTTCAGGAAGCAGATTGACCGTTGTATTGCTGATACTGAGAGTAACCTTCTTCTGTTTCACCTGGCAGACTGCTGCAGCATGAGATGCAGGTAGCAAGCATCTATAGCATTACAGCTGCAAAGCCTCTAACATTACACTTCCAGGATATACAGTTTATTTCACTGATGATTTCATACAGTTGCGCCTTTCTTTATAATCTTCAGACTGTAATGAAAATTTCTAAATAAATAAATTTCACACTGCCAAATTTAAAAACCAAATTGTTACCTGCGTACCCTTCTATCACTCTCAGACCTCCACACTGGCCTATGGTAAACTGAGTGTTTACAGTTGGTCTGAATGGGTCAACATATATTCAGGCTTTGTGACCCTGTTCCTGACCTGAAAGCTGGTCTGACTGCTCCATGTTTACATTACCCTGGTTCTTTAAAATGGTGACCACTTGGATTTGCTGTGAGCAGCAGTAAGGGTGTGTTCATTTTTCTGTATGTCAAAGTATTCCTCCACAACCAAAATGAGATTTAGGATTAACAACTACAATCTTAATCATGCACATAACATATTTATTTATCAATTAAATTATTCTTTCTGTCTATTATAATCATACATCTGAACAAAGAAATGTAAAGTAGTCTGAGTGTAATGACCACTCAAAACATGACTGAGCCCCTAGTCCATAGCTGTACCATTTTTAAAATAGTTACACAAACAACCCTTTCACAGTGATGCTCCCCCCTACTCCTTTAAAATAATCTAATTAAAAAACAAAATGCAGCCCTCACCTTCACTGCCTAAAGTATGAAACAAAATAAGAAAGAATTTCAACAGATGATTCAAATCGACAAAGATACCAGAAGCCCAGTTTGAATAGAAATTCTGAAAAAAATCCCGTAAATGTATTTTCACATGCATGAATGGCTCTAATATATTCTTATTTTAAATAATTAGAGATGGCTCTCAGTTTATAAATGACTTTTTTAGTTTGTTTGTATGCAGAGTCTCAACACTTTTCTAATATTCCCCACAAATAACTGTAAACGGCATATGGCATTAAGCTTGTAGAAAACTCCCAGCTATTGAGCAGACAAAATTTCTATTGTGTCTAAGTTTGTTTGTTTTTTCTGATACAGGGAGCAGTTGCCATCCTGCACTGCCTAGGGCAAAATCACTGGAGTCAATAAGCTGCTGACATGACAGGCGGAATAGTTTAGAATAGAAAACAGTTTATACAAACAAATAACTGAAGGACTCTTATTTTATGGCAACTTATCTACTGCAACAGGCTTTTCAGTCAATAACGTAATAAATTGACTAGGGGTGTAAGAAAATATCAAAAAATATTGTATTGTGATATTTTGTTTTATGATATTGTATCAATTCATAAAGACACTGTATACATTTTTGTCTTTAAACCCCCAACCACTAGATAGCAGTGTTGTACACAGAGGGCTACATATATACATAAGGCTGATCCCACTGGTCTGGTCTGGTCTATTATGCATGTGGTGGTGTGTTCTTTGACAAATTTCCTAAAATTGTTTTTTTTTTTATTGCAATTTATCTCAATATATAGAATCAGAACCCCTGTATCGTGGTACATATCGAATCATCAGATTCTTGCAAACACACAGCCCTCAAACTGACAAATTTCTGATGACAAGGTTATCGAACATGATAACATGCTAAATATTACAAGCTAACATGAGTAGGTGTAGTGTTATTAGCTTGCACATATTAGTAACATTGACAGTATGTTTCCTGATCTTCCATTGGTCAGAACCACTCTGTCTTAACACATTCATTAACTGATCTGTGTTAAGTCCCTTAATCAAGCTAGCAAATGCTAATTTGACATGTGTAGCAGCTGACTATGCTACTAAAAGTGTCCATAATGCAAAAGAGCAAGCTCTTGTTAGAAAGCCACCTGGCAGAAGTGGCTCAGAGGGTCGTCCACTAATCAGAAGGTTGTCAGTTCGATCTCCTGCTACATGTCTTGAGCAAGATACTGGACCCCAAATTGCTCCTGATGCTCCGATGTGTGTTTGTGTTTCTGATGAGCATTTAGCACCTTGCATGGCAGCCTCTGCCACCAGTGTGTGAGTGTGGGTGAATGTGACATGTAGCGTAAAGCACTCTGAGTGGTCGGAAGGTGCTATATAAGTGCAGTCCATTTACCTGTCAAGTCTACAGGAGATGTTTGATGGTTAAAATATATATTATACGGTATGTGGAGAAGTGATTTGAGCTAAGTTTGACAATAGTGAGCCGAGACTGACAGTCTGAGTTGTTCTAAAATGGCAACCATACAGAGCTTAACACTTGTAATTTACAACATGGGCTTTTTTTTCTGTCTCCATTATCAGACCCTCAAACTTTACGTTTGCAAGTTGTCAGGTTTCTAATGAATGCTACAGTCCTGCAAGATTGCAAACGTGGCTGTAGACTGGTTTCCTTTCCTTTGGCTTCTGTGTTTGCTTTAAACCTATTTCACCGAGGCATCGTTCACGTTCTTGGAAACACAATGCAAACATTTTGCTTACCAAAATCTATGTTATTTACATCACTACAGATATTTCATATATTTCCGTTTTTGTTTTGTTGAAAACTGATAATCAGAAAACATGTAGAAATGTGCCATGTATTGTTGGGACACACTGAACCCTTCTGTGGCTCACTGCCTTTTAATTTATTTCTTACTCCTTGCCTCTTACTATCTGGAGCCAGTGTTTGGTTTGTCTGTTCTGGGCTACAACATGGGGGTTCAACATGGTGGAACTGCTCTCTCTGTAGATTAAACACTAATGAAAACATACATATGAATATTATATTCCATTTCTGCCAACAGAGCCTCCAGAATGTTACACACTGGAGCTTTAAGCAAGATGGTGACCTATGGGCATAATGAAAAGTGTTTACATTCAAATCAAATCCTTATTTGAAAAAAAAAAATCATTATTTAAATAGATTTAGCGTGAATGATTTTAGCTTATTCAGTTTATAAAAGTGTTAAACTCTATTAAACAAATTAGCAGTGTGCAGACAGTATATTGCCCAGCACTGCATGTTATCACTTTAAACTAAACACATGGAAAAAGAGGAAGAGAAATGGATGTGCCCAACAAGTACATTTCAGTTACAGTTGAATTGTTTGGTCTCCAAAAAAGCAGTATTTAAAGTTCAATAATCAGTTACTCAAGGGATATAAAAAAACAAAATAGTTACAAAAATATGTAGTTGTACTGCAACAATCCTCTGCTGAAAGTTGGAGTTTTGGTGGCTCTGGGTGGAAGTAACCTTTGTTTTTTAGGCTCATTGAATTTCAGGTCCACCCACTCGTGTGGTGAGTTCGAGTACGTTCTGTCAAATTGTAGGCTGTGCTGAGGGCTTGTTTGGAATGTAAGTTATACCCATCATGCTGTGTGTGTGTGTGTTTTGTCTGTGTTGAACTGTTAGAAATGATGTGAAGTTGAATTTCGAGAAACATCCTGCTGAATCCTGATCAGAATATTGCTGTGTTTGTGTGTAATGTGATGAGAAACTGTTGAAATGCGAGCCTCGTCTCTGCGTGTCTGTTGGTCTCTCTCTCTCTCTCTCGCTTCTTCCACATCAGACAGACTTATGTCTCTGTGTTCAGGGATGATGCTGTAGTGAGGAGTAGGTATGTTGCCATGGCAACCAGGGAAGTGACTCTCGCTTTTCTCTTTGTGGCTTTACAGTTGCCTCTGGATCCTTCTTCAGTCCGAGCTCTGCATTCTTCAGCCTGCAACAATGGAAAAGTCCTTGAACCTCAGGGACATGTTTATATCACACCTATGGGATGGATGACTAACACACAGCTTGTGCACCATCACTGTCCGGCTAGTAGGGAACAGTGCTTGTAGCCAAAAACAACAAATCCAAACGTACTTGTTCATTCAATCACTTAAATCCCCATCTCACAGCCAACTGTCGAGGTGTTAATTTGGATTTACACTGAATAACATAAAAGGTTGAGTCGCAGCCATACATGATCAGTTGGCAGAGCACCACATATCTCCTCACCTGTGTAGCACTGCCACCTTGTGGCTCATATGTTAAACTGCAATGCAGCAAGGCCAATGCAACCTCATTTAACCCAGATGCTCAAGAGGCCTATAGTTTTCCAAGGGAGAGTGTTGCAAAATATATTCCCACATTTCGATTTTGAGTTACTTCATATTTTATGCTACTACATTTGTCTGACAGTATACTTTGACAGTAAAGGGAGAGAGAGGGGCTACAAAAAGCCACAGGTCAGATTCAAACCCATGGCCCAGTTTTGGTGAGTTTTATTTTGTTTCTGTCCACTTTGAATGAAGTTATCATGTAATAGTGATATGCATGATCAAATTACAGTTTTTGTCTATAGATTCTGATGGCGAACAATATTATGGCTGTTTCTGGTTAAACAGAAGATCTATTTCTGTAGGGATCCTTTCCATAATGTTTTCAGGCACTTAGAATATCTAACTTTGTGAATTAAGAGTTTATTTTGACCAAACCATTTTATTTATTTTAATATTATTTTGTTTTTGGAATTATTGATGTTGCTGGTGCCCTTGTGCAACATCAAGTAAAAAATATTACCAGCAAAGGGTACTTAGTATCACAGTAAAAGTACTAATTCTACAGAGAAATGCACCCTGTGACTGGT